GCGCACTCCAAATGCACTCCCTGAAGTTACAGTGTGGGTGAGTTCTCCAGCCTTCCAAGGGAGGCAGGGGACAAGTGAGGAGGTAGGCACAGTCGAGCCCTCCCGGCGTTTGGAGTTGCCTTTCCCCCAGTAAGGTGAGGCCTTGCCAGCATCTGAGCTCCATGAACTGAGGGCCCCTACTTTAATTATCAGTATGGGCTGGAGCGATAGCACAGCGGGTAGGGCGTTCGCCTTACACGCGGCCAACATGGCCGACCCGAGTTCGAGTCCTCCGCCCCTCTCGGAGAGCCCGGCAAGCTACCGAGAGTATTTGATATGCCAGACACAGTAACAACAAAGTCTCCAATGGAGACGTTACTGGGCCCGCTCGAGCAAATCGACGATAAACGGGAGGGCCTTTACCTTTACCTATTAGCATCACCCTGGCCCCCACCAGTCCTTGATCCAGAAATTCACCATCACTCTGTCTAGGATCAATTCCGATGACACTCATTTCTCTTATTTTTATTTTATTTTATTTTTGCTTTTTGGGTCACACCTGGTGATGCACAGGGGTTACTCCTGGCTCTGCACTCAGGAATTACTCCTGGTGGTGCTCAGGGGACCCTATGGGATGCTGGGAATCGAACCCGGGTCGGCCGCGTGCAAGGCAAACACCCTACCCGCTGTGCTATCTCTCCAGCCCCTTATTTTTATTTTTTTGCTGCAGTTGGTGAGCTCCAGGGAGTTCACACCTGCCAGGTGAGCGGAGTGCCATAGAGCTCCATCCCCTGCCTCTTCCACAATTCGTGCCTTGGAACTTTGCTGGGCACTTCTGCTTTGCCCCAGCCCGCAGACCCATGTGTGGCAGGTGCCTCTCATCCACAGCCTGACTTGCGCCAGTCCAGTGGGGTGGCCCTGCTTGGCTTCCACTCCGAGTCCAGCTTGGGCCCATGTGTTGGGTTAGCTCCAGATGGTCTTTCCCAGCTCCGGTTCCTTGAAAGGACAGAAAGATAGCCCCCTGCTGGCCTGGCAGGAAAGAGCACATAAGAGCAAACGCCCACACTGGAGTCCAGGTGCTTTGGAGGGGGTGCAGTTCCCAGTCCCAGGAAGGCGCTCTGCACAGGCTTGCTCTCTGAGAGAGGTGTTGGAGGTGGGGGGCTTCCTCCCCCTTGCCCCAGCTTAAGCCTCAGCTGCCTGATGCACTATCTCTGCCTCCCCCTCAGTTCAACTCATCGCCCTCTGTCCCCTCTGTTGCTTCAACTTCAATACTCCTGGGATATCTCAGGCCCTGGGAGTCCCGTCCAGCTGCTGCAGTGACTGATGACGCAGCAGCAAGAGTAGAGACTTGGGTCAAGGATGTGGGTCGGTGGTGAAGCTCACAGCTCACATGAGAGGCCCTGGGTTTGATCCCCTTGCCCTTCAAATGTGGCTGATGATAATAGCGGGGCAGACCCATGTCCTGCTCACACCAACTGGGGCATATCTTCTCTGGGCTAATCACCTTCTCCTCCCACCAAAGGCACCAAAGGATGATGGGTCAGAGCAGGGGGAGAGGAGGAAACTTGGGACCAGGGAGGGCCTGACTGAGAATGAGACAAGTGGTTCTACAGGGACAAGAGACAGGAGCTGAGCCAATGGCCATCCAGTTTCTGGAAGGAAACAGCTCCCAGCCCAGATCTTCACTTGGCTTGGAATCATCCTAGGGCAGGAGCCCAGGACAGCCACCAAGATTTGCCCCCACACCACCACCCCCCACCACCATGAGCTTCTTCCACTGGCTCCAGGCCACTCTCCTCTCCAATGCCACTCCTGCCCTCTGTGCATTGCCATGGGTGCTGTGAGGACCCCTGAGTCAGTGCTTCTTCTGTGTTGGTTTTGGAGTCAGACCTGGCAATGCTCAGGGCTCCCTCCAGGCTCTGAGCTCAGGGATCACTCTTGGTGGGGCTCCTGGGACCACAGGAGGTGCCAGAGAGGGAACCCAAGTCAGCCGTGTGCAAGGTAAGAGCCCTGCCCACTGGACTGTCTCTCTGAACTTGGGCAGCTCCTTGTAAATGAAAACAGAAACCTGGGCCGGAGCGATTGTACAGCGGGGAGGGCGTTTGCCTTGCATGTGGCCGACCCAGGTTCAATCCCCAGCATTCCACATGGTCCCCTAAGCACAACCAGGAGTAATTCCTGAATTCAGAGACAGGAGTAACCCATGAGCATTGCTGGGTTTGAGCATTACCCAAAAGGCAAAAAAAAAAAAAACAGAAAACAGAAACCTTCACAACAAACACCTGGCAAGATGGTGAAGCCATCCCTCCCAGGGAGCACTGCACCAGGGAGTCTGGGCTCCAGGCCCCCGCATGCCACTTTGCCATGAGAGCAAGAGGTTGGTGGAGCTCTGGCTGTAACTGGGCCTTCTAGGGGGAGGGGTGCAGAGCCCAGCGCCCGATTACGGCACACTGAGGGGAGAAGAGCAGGTGCGGGAAGAACACTGGTGCCAGCATATCCTCGTGTTCCATGGCCTGCCACAGACAGGCGTGCATGGTGCGCTGACCTCAGCCCATGACTCTCCCCCCAAAACCTAGATCCGACCACTCTGACCATCTTTTCGGCTCTCCCTTTCCTTATGAACGCCCCCATGTAGAACTTTCACAAGGGTCCTGGGATGTGGTTCAAGAGAAGGAGAACCTGCCTGCCCTGTATGGGGCCTGAGTGTCCGCTCCAGCACCCCAAGGTGCCCCTCCTCGTGGATGGAGGGCACTTACTTGAGCAGAGGGTTCAGTAGCTTGCTGCTAAAACTGGGTTGACAGCCACGTGCAGAGAGGGACCTGGGGGAAGGCTCCAGGTCAGAGTCCATCGCAATTCTGCTGAGGGCCTTTGTTGGCTGGTCCCTCCCCCTTGAAGTCATGCCCCTGACTTCTGGAATTGGAAGCAAGTGCATGAAGGCCACCTGGGCATGTGGGCACAGCATCAGGGAAGGTGACTGTGGAAGGCTCAGAGGATGGAGCATACCTGGGCGGGAGTGGGGGTCCTGGGCATCTCTGCAGAGACGCTCCCAAAAGGCTGCGTGTTTTCACTGAAGCAGCCCTTGCTGGCCCCCCGCTCTGGCCGCCAGCATGCAGGCTTCTCCGACCCCTTGTCCAAGGTGTTGAAATCACCTGGCAAGGCCCCTCTCTGAAGTGTGAGCATTCAGCCCAAATTAGACATGTCCCAGGCATCCAGGCTGCTTCCTGACCCTGGCAGGCCACCCCCCATCACGGCTGTCCCAAGCTGACTCCCCTGCCCACGCCTGCAGCAGAGCCAAAAAAACTCATAGCTCAGAAAGACTCAGTCACCTGCAGAGGCTCGGCTTTGAACGAGCAGAGCTGGCGGCACGGCTCCCCACGTAGGTCAGGGCCGGGCAGCTCTGCTAGCTTGTGTGCACGCATCTGCCTGAGGGGCCCCAGAAACTGTTGGGGCAGCACCGCCGCCTTGCCACGGGCTCTTCCTGAGAATGAGGGCTGATCCGCTGCCGCCGCAGTGCTCCCCAGCTGGCCGTCCGCAGGAGAGAAAGCCCTTTGGTGGATTCCTTTGAAAGTCCAATTCACAGCACCAACCAGCTGTGAGAGCTCTAATTATAAGTTCAAAGATTTCTGGGCCATGGGAAACTTTCTGTCCTGGTCAGCCAGCTCAGACTGCTACCACACACAGTCCCGTCACATGCTGCAAAGTCATGGCAAGGCCGTGGCCCCTGTCGTGGGGGCCCACAAAGCCAGGAACCTGCTGCCAGCCTATCTCAGGACGTAGGGGGCCCTGCCGTGGCAATGCTGCTCCCCACTGTGAAGCATGAGCACCCAGCACCCTCAGGACTCTGCCTTCTCCCAGCCCCGCTCACACCAGTGCCCAGGCCTATCCAGGGCTCATCGCGCTCCCCTGGCTTTGGCGTTGGCATCACAGGTGCCCTCCCCAGCCATTGCGGAAATGGTGTCCACGTCCACTTTCTGGGGTGCCCTCCTTTACTTTGAGGCCATGAAAACAGGGATCCCAAAGGGGACCAGATGTCGGGCACATGGCACATGTCTCAGGTGAGGCTGCAGCTCCAGACCCAAAATTCTACAGATGAAACTGTCCGTCCGGTGCTCTTCAGCATTGGAGCCAGGAGTCAGATGCCTCATCTTCAGACGCACCATCAGATGCCTTCTACCCAGGGCAGACAGCAACACCCCCAGCACACACAGTGTACATGGCGTACCCAGCACACACAGTATACATATAGCACAGTTCCATGATAGACATACAGCACACACAGCACCCACACAGCACACACAATATAAACCGTACACGCACTGCACACACAGAGTACATAGTATAGATGCAGCACACACGGCACACAGTGGAACACTGCACACACATTAGACATGTACACATGCGGCACACCGTATGTACACGGCACGCAGTACACATGGCCTACATACAGTGCAGACACATCTCACATACAACATCGCACTCTAAATGCACACGCCACAAGCACAGGCCGCACGCAGCTCGCCCAGCTGCCGACAGCAGAAGGGAGGGAGGAGGGCTGCGGGGCGTGTCCAGGAGGCTGGGGGCGCGGCAGGCGGGGACCCGGTGTCACCTCCGTTTGCACGTTCACCGGTTGGCCCCGCGCGTTTGGGGCTTTTAGCAGGTCGGACCCGCTTCTCCCACCAGACCTGCCCACGGGGTCACGCGCGCGCCGGCAGGCGCACCCGGCACCAACGGCGTCAGGGCGCACAGCACGCGCGCGCCCGCAGCCCGCACCGCGCCCCCCGCGACCCCGGGCCCCGGCTGGGAACCCCCACCCAAGCCCGACCTCCGGGCCAGCTCCGGCCCCGCCCGGCAGGCCGCCCCGCAGCCCGCGGAGCCCGGCCCGCCCCCGCCCGCCCCGCCGGCGCGCGCGGTCACGGGGCCGGGGGCGGGGCGGGACGCGGAAGCCGGAGCGGCCCCGCCGCCCGCCGCGCCGCTGGGCCCGCCGCGCCTCCCCCGCACCGCCCGACCGAGCCTGAGCCTCGCCGCGCCCCGCCCCGCGTCCAGCCCGCGCCTCGGACCGCCCAGACCTTGTAGGTGAAGCCCCTGCGCTCCGAGGGGCCGGGCCTGGGCACTCGGGACCGACCGGGAGGGTCTGGGCCCCTCCAGGGCGTGTGCGGGCCGGTGCCACACATGGGCACCCTGTGGCTGCTGGCACTGGTGGGGGCCGCCGGCCTGGCCGCTGGGCTGCCCCCCAACATCCTGCTCATATTCGCCGATGACCTGGGTTACGGAGACCTCGGGGTCTACGGGCACCCCAGCTCCACCACCCCCAACCTGGATCAGCTGGCCGCCGGGGCCCTGCGCTTCACAGACTTCTACGTGCCAGTGTCTCTGTGCACGCCGTCCCGGTATGTGCACGGGCCTGGGCTCCGGGTGGTGGGGGCCCGGGTGCTCAGGCAGAGCCACCAGCCTCTCTGTTCACCTTGCCCGCCCACAGTGCCGCTCTGCTGACCGGCCGCTTCCCCGTGCGGATGGGCCTGTACCCCGGAGTCCTGGAACCCAGCTCGCGGGGGGGCCTGCCCCTGGGCGAGGTGACCATGGCGGAGATGCTGGCTGCTCAAGGCTACCTCACAGGCATGGCTGGAAAGTGGCACCTTGGGGTGGGCCCTGACGGGGCCTTTCTCCCCCCTAACCACGGCTTTCACCGCTTCTTGGGGATCCCCTACTCCCACGACCAGGTGAGCCTGGCTGGCCGCTGCCCTGTCCTGGCTGCGGGGCCCCGCCTGCCGCACCAGCTGAGTGTTCCCCCACACACACCAGGGCCCCTGCCATAACCTGATCTGCTTCCCGCCGAGCACCACCTGCGAGGGCTCCTGTGACCAGGATGTGGTTCCCATCCCGCTGCTGAACAACCTGACAGTGGAAGCACAGCCGCCCTGGCTGCCCGGCCTGGAAGCCCGCTACGTGGCCTTCGCCAGGGAGCTCATGGCTGATGCCCAGCGCCTAGGCCGCCCTTTCTTCCTGTACTATGCCTCGCACGTGAGGGCCCCCACACCCCCAGCCGTCCCCCCGCGCGCGCACACACACACACACACACACACACACACACATGCACACGCACACACGGCCAGTCCACCCTGCCCCACCCCTGCTGACTCCAGTCTCTGCCCTCAGCACACCCACTACCCCCAGTTCAGCGGCCAGACCTTTGTGGGACGATCAGGCCGGGGGCCTTTTGGAGACTCCCTCATGGAGCTGGACACCGCAGTGGGGGCCCTGATGACAGCCTTGGGGGACCTAGGACTGCTGGGGGACACGCTGGTCATCTTCACTGCTGACAATGGGTGCGTTTGGGGCGGAGCTGCCAGCCACTTCCAGGCCAGGCTCCTGGAGGTACTGGCCCCTTGACGGGGTTGCAGAGAGATGAGCGCTGGCCTGACGACCGATGCTTGTGCTGTCCCCCAGACCCGAGACCATGCGCATGTCCCATGGCGGCAGCTCTGGCCTCCTGCGCTGCGGAAAGGGAACCACATTTGAAGGCGGCGTCCGAGAACCTGCCCTGTTCTTCTGGCCAGGCCACATCGCCCCAGGTCAGTGCTCGCACCTGTGCCCCCTGCCCTGTGCCCCTCTCCAGCCAGTGGCTAATAAAGTGACTGCCTGGGTCCGCCCCCAGGTGTGACACATGAGCTGGCCAGCACCCTCGACCTGCTCCCCACCTTGGCAGCGCTAAGCAAGGCCACACTGCCCAACACCACCTTGGACGGCTTCGACCTCAGCCCCGTGCTGCTGGGCACTGGCCCGGTGAGGCCCTGGGCAACCCCTCGCCCGGCGGGCACCCGTTCCTCCGGGAATCCCTGTGGGCTCCAGCAAGTGTGAGGGGCGGGGCCTCGGGCACCAGTGGCGGGGGGGCAGGCTGCCTGTGACACTGTGCCCCTACCTGCCCCCAGAGCCCCCGGAAGTCTCTCTTCTTCTACTCGCCCTTCCCAGACATGATCCGTGGGGTCTTTGCAGTGCGGAGTGGGAAGTACAAGGCTCACTTCTTCACCCAGGGTAACGCCCACCTTGCCAGCTCCCCAGCCCAGCAGCCCCTCGCCCGCCCGGGCCCTGTGCACAGACACAGCCCCTTCCCTGCCCCCCAGGCTCTAAGCACAGTGACACCACAGCCGACCCTGCCTGCCACTCGACAAGCCCTCTGACAGCCCACGAGCCCCCGCTGCTCTTCAATCTGGCGGAGGACCCCAGCGAGAACTACAATCTCCTCGAGAAAGTGACAGACGTCTCCCCAGAGGTGATGCAGGAGCTGAAGCACCTCCAGCTGCTCAAGGCTGAGTTCGACGCTTCTGTCGTCTTTAGCCCCAGCCAGATGGCCCAGGGCGAGGACCCCGCACTGCAGATCTGCTGCCTGCCCAGCTGCAGCCCAAAGCCCAGCTGCTGCCACTGCCCAGAGTCCAAGACCTGAGGGCCCTGAGAACAATAACACCAGCTGACACTTGTCAGGCGTGCTCCTTCCTGTAGTCTGGGCCAGCCACCCCTGCACGGCCAGCTAGCACCTGCCCCGCCCCCAACCCTCCCGGGCGGGACAGATGGGGTGGGGTTGCACTGGCTGCTGCGCAAGGCCTGGGCAGGTGGGTGCCCCTGGGAGCAGCCTGGCTCTGCAGGTGAGTGGGGATTGCAGGTTCCCACAGGGCACTCTGGAGACAGCCCCGGGCCTGCACTTCCTGTGCTCTGCAGACCTTAAGCCCACCGGATGTGGAGGAGCCATCAGAATTCATCCAGATTTCTCCCAGGGCCTTGCCCTGTGCCCACCATCTCCCTCTTGCTCCTAGCCTAGCCTGAGGGTCTGTTTTCTCTTCCACCTGGTCACTTTGTGTGTGCCCCGGGGTCTGTGTGAGAGCAGCCCACCCAAAGGACCGCCTGCCTCCCCCTCCCTGCTTGTACCCCTCATAGCCCCATGCTTGGTGTGTGTGTGGGGGAGGGGGAGCTGACCACTCCCAGTGAGGCTGGGCCCCAACACCGCCCTGCAGAGTTCTGGGGAGAGAAGGCAGCCTCAATAGCAGAGGCCCTGCAGGGTCCTGGGGCTCCGCAAGCCAGGACAGCCCGTGGGACAGGACGTGGGCTATGGTGTGATGGCCAGGTAGCGTTCTCCTGTGACTCACCTATCAGCTCTGGAGGGTGTAGGGGCTGTGCTGACCACGCCCCAGAGTCCCTGCAGCCATGGCACGGGGGGGGGGGTCACCCCCACACCTTCTCTGGCCAGAGATGCTGACGGGCCGCCCCATGGTGCAGGAAGGTAAGGAGACAAACTTCCTGTTTCCTGAGTCTGTATTTCCCTTCCTTTGGCTGCAGTGATGACCACAAGTGTGTGTGATGTTAGCAGCTGTGCCCGCGGGGGCGGCCCACTCTGCTGTCAGGCTGCAGGGTGGAGCTCAGTGTGGGGCTGGCGGCAGGAATCGAATTCCTGGCCTCCAGCCGGCAAGGGGGTCCCTGCCCCGCCGCCCTCCGACCCTCTCAGACCCTTTGTCTGTTAGGCCAGGCTCTGCTCAGTCGCCACTTCATGTTCACGGTTTTCCCTCCCAGCAGTGGTCGCAGGGTGGGACGGGGGTAGGGGGATGCCCCAGGCTCTGGAGGAAAGGGGCAGAGACAGGGCCAGACAGGCCAGATGGGAACTGAGAGAAAGACGCTGGTCGGCATCTGGGTCCAGCAGCTCCCAGGCAGGCTGGAGCTGGCCTGTCTCTGGCACAGGCTGACCAGCTGGGTCCAGCAGGCAGGGAACGGCAGACTTGGGGGGGGGGGCAAGGCAGGAGAAGGAGACGGCAAGGGGGGTCCCGCTGGCTCTAGGGCTCCAGCGCAACACTGGGGGGAAAACAAAATGCAGAACATGGACAAAATGAGGCACAGGGAAAACTTGTGAGAGAGCAGGGAGCCCCCAAGCCCGTGCCCTTTCTCATCGGGTCCATGGTGTGTGGGGTCTTGTGAAGAACCATCCAGTGAGGCGCTCCGGGAGGGGGGGCCCCCGGGAGGGAGAGGAAACAAGTCAGGCTCACCACAGCCATGCACACTGTGGTGCATGCACAGTGGTGCTAGCGCAACCATGCACACACACACACAGCCATGCACACACATAACCCCCCGCACAACTGTTTTCACACACACATAGCTTTGCATGCACACACAGCTGTGCACACACACTCAAGACCAGCCATGACAGCCCCCGTCACGTTTCCTTGAGGTTCCCATTGGGAGGTGCAGGTGTGGCCGGGGACGTGAACCTTGCTCAGGGTTCAGCTCCCCGTGGTGACTCAAGTGTGACTCCGGAGAATTCCGGAGGGGATATGGGGATGTACCTGTTTCAGAGAGCACCGAGGAGACCCCTGCCAGGACCCCAAAACCCTGGGTCTGTCCCGCCACCAGCCCGCACCCGGGCCCCCCACAAACAGCCATGATCACACCAAGCAGAGAGTTTATTGAGGCGCTGGTCTGCGGGGAGCATTGCAGAGGCAAAGCGGGCGCTGGTGTGGCCAGGGCAGGGTCCCTCCTCATGGCAGGCCTGGGTGCTCGAGGGAGCCTCAGAACCACGGTCTTCCCAGAGCCCTTGGGGACCCCTCGCTGCTCCCCCTGAGCTCCACCTGGGGCGTTAAGGGGGTCCCTCCCTCTGTCCCCATGGTCAAGGAGGCCACAATCCCTGGAGATTCACTATAAAAATTAAAATTCCTTTATAAATCACGGGGAGGGCAGGAGGGGCCACCTGGGGGCCTACGTTGCTCCCCCTGCCACTTCCCCTCCCCTCGCCCCCCAGTTCTGACCCCAAAGTAAAGAGCGGAGGGTAAGAGTGTGCAGGCACAGAGAGGGCAGGGCAGGGGGGAGACGAGGCAGGGCAGCAAGAGGCGGGCGAGCACGGAGGAGCCTCCAGCACAGCCCAGGCCCCGAAGGCCCCCAGTCCAGTCCTTGCTGAAGCCACCGTGGGCTCTTGAGACCCCCAGCCCCAGCTGCACCTGGAGTGGAGAGCGGAGCAGCTACTCCAGGTAGATGTCCTCTGTGGGGCAGGCGTACTCCAGGTGCTCCTGGTAGTACTCCAGGAAGGCGCGGCTGTGGACAGGTCGCCCGCGTCACCCTAGGCGCGCCCTCTCGGCTCCCCCCACCCTGCATTCTCACCGAGTGCCCTGTGGGGTGCACCCTTGTGTTCCCTGGAGGCCCCCGTGCCTGGCCCGTGCCAGCCTTCCCTCTGGTGTCCTCCCAAGCCCCTGCCCCTGGGCCCGCTGCCCATCCCACCGATTCTCTCTGCCCCCTGGGCCCCGCTCACCCCACACTCTGGGCCACGGCCCTCATGGACTCCTGGGAGACAAAGACGTGGCAGGCAAAGCGGCTCAGCAGCGGGTGCTTGGTGATGAAGCCGAAGTAGCTGCAGGGAGGTGGGAGGGCGGCGATGGAGGCCTGTCCCGCAGCCCCCACGCCCGCCCAGGCTCCAGAGAGGGTGCGGGGAACCACATGCCTTCCCGTCCCAGTCCCGCTCTGTCCCCATGGGGAGCTGGCGAGTGACCTGGGTCCTGCTCATGTCAGGCCACCCGGGCTGCTCTCCAGGGCCAGCTCAGCAGTGGGACCCGGGGCGTCCCAGCCTGTGGGATCTGGGGGTCCCACACTCAAGCCTGGTCCAGCCCACACTCGGACCCACTTGCAGCCTGCAGGGCCTGGGGGTCCCACACTCGGGCCTGCTCCCAGCTTCTCAGCAAGGCCTTGCCCAGACTCAAGCTGAGTCTCAGCTGAGTCCTGCCTCGTGGTGTCCTGACCGCCCTCCCTGCCCAGCCTTGCTGTGGATCCTGCAAGGACAGCTGTCCCCAAGCTCCCACATGGGGCTCACACTGCCCCCCTCAACTGGGAGCACCTCTTCCTGGAAGGGCCAGTCCCACCTCAGGCACCACGGTTCCCTCCAAGCCCTTCCTGAGCCCTGGTTCCGGTTCTGTGGCAGGAAGCCACACACACACACACACACACACATTCACATTCTCACAAATTCACACACTCAGCACCTACACACACATACCTCCACTCATACACACATGCATTCCTACACAAGCGCACACACACACTGCCCAGCTGCTCCAGGTCTCGGCACCATCTGGGACCCTCAGGACAGATGCCACTGCCAGGACAACATGCTCCTGTTTCCCAGGAACACGGCACGTCTGTGTCTCCACATGCAGCTGAAGAGCAACTTCCAGCCCCACGCTCGCTGTGGCTCCTGCTCCCCCAGTCACAGACGCGCAGAAACCTCCAACAGCGCGCGAGGTGGGTGTCCTGGCCCTCCACACACACTCGCCCAAGGGCGTACAACCATCCGGGTGAAGGCCTGACGCTGAGATGACGTTCGCTGCGGCTCCTCCCAGCAGATGCTGGATGCCTGGGCTGGGGGTGATGCCGGTGCTCTGCTGCTGCACGGGGCACCTTCCCCCCCACCCACACACACACACTGAGGTGCGGCCAGGCGAGCTCTGCCACCAGCCCTGCCAGCAGAGCCGCTCCTCCTCGGCACAGGTGCCCAGGCCCTGTGGACATACCTCAGTATCTGCCACAGCCACGGCCACCGTGGCCTCGCACTCCCAGGAAACAAGGTCATGGAAGGCACCCTCACTAGAATGGGAGATCGTCTCTGCGGGGGGTCAGCCCCCCTCATGCCTCTCAGTAGGGCCACACCTGCCTGCCCGCCCCGGGTCAGGCCTGCATCTGCTCCAAGAGAGAGACCGGGGCCTGACTCTCTGCATAGCAGCCAAGACCCGCCTGTCACAGGCTGTCACATCTAGGACCACCACCAGTGGGACCCACTGACACCCCAGTCCTGGGAGGCCCTCACCCATGGCATTGCCCAGCTGGTCTGAGAGAAGAGGGTCCTCTCAGGTCTGGGTGGGGGTCAGGGTGATGCTCACCAGCTGTTACGGGGATGGCAGCCGCAGAAGGAAATGTTCTTCATCTGGAAGAAATGGCTGCAGCGCTGGAACTGGACAACACCATGGGGCCCACGTCAGACTGGCCCGCCCTGCTAAGCACCCTCCCTCCACACCCTCCATTTCACCACCCCGGGCCCTGAGCCTCAGAGTCCCACCTCAGGTCCTCCGCTCAGACTCAGCTTGACACCCCGAAGGGAAATCTCCAGGTCGCAGGAGGCAGGTGGGCGCAGGTGAACGGTCAACTTGCGAGCCGTGGCGATCTAGGGAGGAAGCCGGGCGAGGAGGGACAGGAGGCTCTCAGGGCTGCAAGGCGCCCCTGCCCATGTCTGGGCAGCAAACGCTGCTTCCGAAAGATGAGGCCACCTCACCCAGCCCAAAGGCTTCTCCACCCAGGCTGCCTCCTCCCGTCCTCCCTGTCTGGCCAGGAGCCCCCTTGCCTGGCTTTGCCTCAAGTTCAGGATCTGCAGGTGCTCACAGAGAGCACCCCAAGAAGGGGCCCAGACAAGAGGAAAACAAGCTGCAGGAAAACAGAAAC